CTCCAGAGCCTGCGAGTTGGGGGCTAGAGCGGCCAGGCCTCTGGGCCGGGTCGAGCCCGGGCCGCCGACGGCTGCGTCACGCGAGGGGGCGGTGCTGCCACGGGCGGAGGCCGGAGCCGGAAGCGGAAGAGGCGCTCGGAGTGGGGAGTGGGGCCTAGCCGCAGCCGGAGCCTGGGAGACGGTGAGTATGGGCCCGAGCCCGCGGCCGGGCGGCTTGGGTGAGTCGGTGGGGACGGGCAAGCTGGTACGGGCACCTCGGCTCCCGGTCGGGTCTCGGCTTGTACCCTTTTCCCTTTTCGGCCCACGTCAGGCCGCGGGTCCCGACCTCTCACCCCTGACCCGCCGCTTCTCTCCCGGAGGGCGGTCACTGTAGACCCCTTTTCTGGATCCCGCGGTGTTGGAGGCGGAGCCCAGGCGGCCTCCGAGGCGACTGGGAGCATCCCCATCGGGCCCCGCGGGCTGGATTCGCGTCCGACATAAGCTAACCTGGAAAGGCTTTCCCTGCCCCGGGCTCGTGGCTTAGCCCGCAGACCTCCGCCGCGAGCCGCCTGGAGTTTGATTCTGGCTCAGGCTGGCCTTCCCTCTGGTCGCCGGGTCTTCCCTTGGCGGTTACGGGGAACGGGGCTCTGAGGTCCCCGGGATCCGGGCGGAAGGAAGGGACTCGAGTGAGGGCCTCCGGCCCCCTCGGTGTTTTGTTATGATGGAACCGCTCCATCCCGGAGAGTGGGTCAGACCAAGCCGGGAGTACAAGTGTCCAGGCTGCTCCTCGGTCCGGCCGGGAGCTTCTATGCTTTAGTTCCGGGTGCGGGTGCCCTGATGCTTGGGTGGGAATTGCTTGAGTCTGGCCCCCGTCAAGGCGGAGTTGGCGGCCTTCCAGCTTCCCTCCTCCGTGCCCTTGAAAAGGAGGAGCGTTTTGCCCGGTGGCAGCCGCAGCTTGCGAGGTGGCAGGTTTGAGGTTGCAGTGGTGGGGCACTGCCAGCCAAAAATAACCATGGGTCGCTGGGGTGGCAGGAATCCGGGAGGGCAGCCGCTGACCTGGCTGGCTGTTCTTCTTGTCCAGCCCGGTTCTCTAGCCAGGAACAGCAAATGAGAAGCCAGCCAGGCCTGTGCTCAGAGAAAAGCTGGCATCCTTAGCTTGGTTTCATTGGTCACCATTGCCTTTTTTCCATTGTGCAGAGCCTCCCAATGCATAATTGTGGTGCTTAAGTTTTAAAAAGCCTCTCTACTGAGGTCTCAAGAAATCGGAGGGAATTTATGAGAAATGGGCCCAAGAGCCCTGGCTGGGATGACGTGGGACACCTGATAGTTCCTATATTTCACCTGCCCGGGCTGAGTTGCAAGGGAGGTGATCTCCATTGCTACCCTATACGTTGTACTTTATGGCCGTCATACTTGGCCTTCTTTGCCTGTCTGGGAGGTCTTATCTTCGTTTTCCAGGCATTGGAACCGAGCTCAAAAGTGACTCGTATAAATAAGGCCACAGGGCCAGTAAGTGGCAGCACTGGGATTGAGTTCAGGGTTTTCTGCCAAAACTTCCTACCGGCTCCCATGGAAAGGATTATAAATTGTGCCATTCATCATAACGCTGAGTGTTACCCGGAACCTTCTCAGACTGTCTTACTTCTTGAGGCCCAAACCTGTGCTAGGCTTTTGACTTTATATGGCAGATATACTTAATTCTTACAGAACCTGCAAGAGATTATTGTTTCCTTCTTTCAAGAGGAGGCCGAAGCTCAGAGTAGTGTAATAACTTGCCCAAAGGCAAACAGTGGCAGTGGTAGTGGCATGGATTAGGTTGACATTGGACTCTGAAGCTGTGACTTTCCACCCAAGTAGACATACGGTCATAAAAATTTTCTAGGTCCCAGAAGGAAAACGTTGCCTGGTGTATATTAGACCACATTACCACATCCTCCAGATAGGTCTTTGTCTGCCTGATGAGGATGGGCAGGACCACACTTGCCTTGTGGGGAAGATATGTGCCCTGGCCAGTAGGATGTCTTTTGGGTCAATTAGTGAGACATGAAATACTGCTTTCAGGACACAGGTTGAGCACTTGCCTTAAGGTAATTGGGGAAAAAATGAAAACAGAAACATTATTCAGACTACTGGGAAAATAACAAATCTACCGATTTTGTGTAGTGTTTATCTTCAAGGATTTCTGGGTGGCCCAGATTTTTCAGATGGAGGTGTACTAGTGGGGAGATAGAAGGCAGTGCCTTTAAGTTCTCCAGAGGCCCCCAGAGGTTTAGATGAATTGGCCTCCCTGTCCTGCACATACACAAGTAGCTGTTTCAGTTTTGGATTATGCTGGTGAGATGAAGCAACCTTGATGGATTTGTTTAAAAGATACTTGGCCAGGCAAGCCTAGAACTGTGCAAGACTAGAGGTTGGGTGTGAGCAGTTGCCGGCTTGGGAAGCAAACAAGCAGTGTGGGCTCTTGCCTGGCCATCTGGTGGAGAAAATGTGAAGGGGCAGGATATGTGTGAAAAGGGTACCAGCCTCATGTAGCCATCTTCCTCAACTGGTTGCTGATCCAGCTTGGGAGTCTCCTCTGTTGATATCAGTCCTCAGTAGCTAGGGATAGTGAATGGGAAGCCTGCTTCTGCTTCCAAGTGTAGACCTGCAGCCACCTCTTGGCATCTAACCAGCAGCACAGGAAACAGTGCTGTTAGGGGAGCTAGGCGGGATGGCAGTGATAGTGTTGGTTTAAGGTGGAGCATCTGGCATAGGTCTGAGTTGGTCTGAGGGCCACTAAAATGTGCCTCAGGCAAGCAGCTTAGATTCTCCGAGGAGCGTGGCATCTTCTGGGCTGAGACTGGATGGGCCAACAAGGGCTGGGCAGGTCCTCTGGGCCTATATTCACTTGGCTAGACCCTGGTAGAGGTAGGGAATATTGATGAGATACTGTGTCTTTGCTCAAGAGTCAGTGTTCTCTTTTCTACTGTGACTCGTCACTGACTTAAGAGTTTTCAACTTCTTTGAGTTGAATCCAGTTCAGTGCCTTAGCCGGGCAGCTTTCAGTTTCTGAAACCAGTACATTGGCTCCATGCCACCAGTTCTTTAGCTCCAGACTCCTGGTATATTTAGATATAGTAGGAAGAAATTGAGCAAAGAAGCTCTTTCCCCCTGCCCTTGGAATCTCTGTGGCAGTGCTCAGCATCCCTCTAAGAGCTCTACTTCTGTATCTGGACCCTGCTCACCCGGCTCAAATGTTTAGGCCCCTAGGCCGTGCTGGGGAGGCACCTGTTTGTTTACTCACTGGCAAAGGAAGAGTCACCCATTGTATGCTGTTCTGTCACTGTGACCTCAGAGTTCTTTACTTCATAAACTCCTGGGGCGGGGGAGGGCTGCCCTTAAATAGAACAATGGGCCTCTTCTTCAGGAACACCTGCCTGCACCAGGCAGCCCTGTGACTGGAAGCAGTGAGCTGTGTGCTGAGCAGGGCTTTCTCTTTCTTGTGGCCTAGATGCATCACTGTAAGCGATACCGTTCCCCAGAGCCAGACCCATACCTGAGCTACCGCTGGAAGAGGAGGCGGTCTTACAGTCGGGAGCATGAAGGTAGACTACGATACCCATCCCGAAGGGAGCCTCCCCCAAGGAGATCACGGTCCAGAAGGTGAGTGGGAGCTGGGTTGGAGGAAGTTCTTCTTTCTTCAGCTAGATGAGCAGATGGCCCAGAGACTCTGGTGGCCTTAAGTTCCTTTAGGTGACTGCCTCTGCCCAGATGCCCATGGACCCTGTCACGATCTCTGGGCTGCTTGCATATCCTTATTTGTGTTTCCTGGCTTCAGTAGAAGCCACTTTCCTTGTCCTGTCTTTGTCACAAAATGATCCTCCTTCTTCTGTATTTTCTAGGCCACCCAACTGTGAGCCTTCCTCAGTGGGAAGTAGAACATTGTCCTAGCCTTAGAAAGACTGCTCCTGAGTCCTATCTGAGTCCCCAGACCAAAGTAATAGTTGTACCAGACTAGTCAACTCTGTCACTGTTGGAGGCCCTTCCCTGTGCTCGCTTGCTATTTCTGCTTCTTCCTCCTGTGGCACTGGAAGGACACTGTTATTACCCAAGGCTCTGAGAGTAAGCTTGGTACCTTTGCTCCTTCTCCCTGCTCAGTTCCTTCAGCATGGATGCTTCAGCTCTGACACTTTCCTTGAGAGTCTTTGCAGGGGCCTTGCAAAGAAAAGCCTCTTGCCTGCTGGCAGGAACCCAGCTGGTAGGGCCCTTCTTGACTCATGTCCCCACCCCCTCTTGGCAGCCATGACCGCCTACCCTACCAGCGGAGATACCGCGAGCACCGTGACAGCGATACATACCGGTGTGAGGAGCGGAGCCCATCCTTTGGAGAGGACTGCTATGGGTCTTCACGTTCTCGACATCGAAGACGGTCACGAGAGAGGGGGCCATACCGTACCCGCAAGCATGCCCACCACTGTCACAAACGTCGTACCAGGTCTTGTAGCAGCGCCTCCTCGGTGAGTGGTGGCCAGAGTGTGCTAACAGGGGCCTAAAGGCCTCATCTCTTTCTAGCCTTCTCTCAGGCTGGCTGGTCTGGGTGAGTACTGGCAGCCCTGTGCATACACACCATTGTGTGTGCACATATGTGTGTGCGTGTGCGTGTTTGGTACAGGGCTGAGCAAGGATGTTATGCCCTCCATCTTCTGGCCCCTTGCCAGTGGTAACTGTAGGGGCTCTGGCTCCGGCGCTGGCTGGTTTCCAGCCTGTCTGTGTCTACCCACTGTTCCAGATCTAGGCTACATGGTACACATGTCTGGTACACACTCCTCAGGAATTGTACTAAGATTGATGGTTTGGAGTTATACGGCCTGGTCTTTTTCATATCAGGTCTTGTCCCCTTCCAAACTTCCCCCCAACTCCCCACACTTAGCTAAGTACTTTGAGTGCGGACTTAACCACCTCTGCCGCCTTACCTCACAGCCCCCCTCTCCCAGAGTACTAGAGTCTCCATCACCCAATGAAAAAGGGACACTTTACCAGTCAGATTTTTTTTTTTTTTTAACTTTTTAAATGCTGGGAGTCCAACCGAGAGCCAACACATACTAGGCAAGTGCTCCACCACTGATGTATGTCACACCCTGGTTCCCACACTTCCTCTTTGTTTTTTGAAAATCTTGTTAAGTATCTAGGTTGGCCTAAAACTCCTGATCCTTTTGCCTCTATTTATTTCCTGAGTTTCTAGCCCTTTCTTTTTTTGATACGGATCTTGAATTTCTGTGTTGAGCCGTCTAAGCTGCTGGTCTGTAAGCGTATATCACTTTGCCCTGACAGTCAGTTCTCTTCTGCCTTGTTCCTTGATAGGTGAGGCACTTGTGATGAGGAGAGGCAGCCATTTGTGTGCTGGGGCACCTAGGCCTCACCTTGTTGCTGACCCCTTAAAAACAGAGGTTGGCCAGCATTCTAGGGTGGTGGGTTGAACAGACCAAGAGTCCACACTGTACTCAATCCCATGGAAAAGAAAAGTCACATGTGTGTTTCTGAGGTTATGTGCTGTCTTCTCTTCTCCCCATCTCTTCTCCCCATGCTGTCCTCCTGCTGGCCAAGAGGCCTCTGAATAGTAGTGGTGGGTTCAGTGGAGGTATCTTCTTTGCCCAGTCTCTGTGACTTGAGTGGCATGGGTTGAAGGTTGACTCTTGTAAGTGAATCCAGCATGGCCTGTGGCCTCACACAGTGCCACACGCTGCCACTGGATGGCAGTGTAAGTCTGTTGCTCTGCTTATTTAGGGTGCCCTCTGTTGTTGTGGGACGGGTCTGGCTTATGAGTTGCACAAGTCCTAAGGCCAGGCCAGGAGCTGGCTTGGGGCCTGAAGGTCGGCTGTCCTGGAGGATCTCAGCCAGGCTCATTTCCTGCTGGAGGCTGGTGGCAGGAGGACTGCTGGCAGAAGGCTGTTTCTGGTAGTTGCTTAAAAGTCTGGCCAAGGATGTCATGTGGGAGCAGGTGGTAGCTTGGTTTTACGTGGCAGCTGTTGAACATGTTGTGAGGCTGTGTGGGCGAACAGAGGCAGGCAAGGACAGGCTGAGCATGCTGCTGCTGCAGAAGCCAGGATAGCCCTCAGATCAGTCCTGAAGGTTGGACCCAGGTTGGGCCAGCTGCCTTTTTGCGCCGTCCACTCTCCCTGCGTCTTCAGCTCTGGCCAAAGTCATGGGAGGGTCAGGGCGGGGGAGACTCAGAAGAGGAGGGAGTCAGGGCTGTGGCTGTCCTTGGGGCCTGGCCCCTCTGTGTCAGAGGCTGGACATCTTTCTGAGCATTGTGGCACTCTTCTTAGAGATAATGTCCGAGTTTTCTTACATACCTGTAGCTGTTTTTGCTTTTCTGTTTTGAAGTCAGTTTGTGTCTTGACGTGTCCCTTGCAATATCCCTATCGTTATATATGCTGTGTGCCTTATGAAATGCTGGGATCTGGAAAATCCAACCAACCAACCCACCGGCTCCTCACCGTCTCCACCTCTGCCTTTGACTGACACCTCAATCTGTCAATCGGAACCGCCTACCATGCGATTGGTCGGATGGCGTTTCGGGGGGCGGTGCATGCAGAGAAGCCAACAGAGCAGTAAGCGCAGCAGCCGGAGTGTGGAAGATGACAAGGAGGGTCACCTGGTGTGCCGGATCGGCGATTGGCTCCAAGAGCGATGTACAGCCACCTTTCGTAAAACTTTACCTCTCTACTTTCTACCCCCCTTGTTAGATGAGACCTCTCCTGCGTGGAGGGGCCCTAGTGCGCGTGGCGCCTTAGTGGGGCCACCAGTAATTGCCTGAATGACACAGACACTAGCAACTTCTGTTTTTAAGAGTGTAGCAGTGAGCAAGAACCTTTGTTGTTTTTGAGGATTTGAATGCTGTGAACTTGCAGGAGCTGCCAGACTCCCGCCCTCCAGACTCTGATGCCCAGCTTCTTCTCTCTCACAGATGAGATCGTGGGGAACCTGGGTGAAGGAACCTTTGGCAAGGTGGTGGAGTGCTTGGACCATGCCAGGTGAGCATGCAGGGGCGGCATAGCCAGCTCTGGGTGTGAGCATGCTTGGAAGAGCTAGTTTGATTCTCCTCAGGGTGTAGCTCTTTTTGGGGGGGTAGCACCAGTGCTGATGTATGTGCTGGGCTTTACTAATCTCATGAAGTAAGGGAGAAATTCATGAGATTTGACAGGCATGTGACATCGCTGCCCAAGAACTTCTGATTAATAGGTGCCTCTGCCCTTTATGAGCTGTGGCATTGATAACCAGGCAGAGCCAAGGCCTGGCTTCTGTGGTGTGGCCTGGAACTGCATCCCATGAGCTTTTAGAGATTTTTGGTCAGGCTGCATCTCTTTTTTTCTGATTTCTTGGGCAGAGAAAAGGACAGCTATAAAAGGATCTGGGAACCTATAAGGAATTCAAAGGGAGTCAATACAGGGCCAGTGGAGGTATAATTCAGTTCTTCCAACAGCCCTGGAATGAGTTATACCTGTGTTGTGTCGGGGTGGGAGGGGTACACCTTGTTTCAGAAGTCTAAAGTAGTGGGCTCGCCTCCCTCTCTGTCAGAAGGATGAGAGTGCTGCCGGCCTGGCCTCATGCTGCCTTTGCTCCTGCCATGTCTGCCTGAGAGGTCCCAGGGCCAGATGAGAGACATGAAACTCTGGCCTTCACATCTAGCATCTGCTGCCCACCCTAGTGGGACAGGGGCCTTTTTGGTTTTTTGAGACTGAGTTCCTCTAACTTTGGAGCCTGTCCTGGAACTAGCTCTTGTAGACCAGGCTGGCCTCAAACTCACAGAGATCCACCTGCCTCTGCCTCCCAAGTGCTGGGATTAAAGGCGTGCGCCACCACTGCCCGGCTTGTGACTAGGGTCTTGACTAGTTCATGTTGACTTGGTCCAGATTACAGAGGCAGTGCCTGTCTGTGTCATTCTACTGAGACCAAATCACTCCCTCCAGTCCTAGCGGTGAACACGTATCCCCTCATCATCTGCAAGACTAGAATTCTTGCTTTCTTCCCTGTAGCCGTAGGTGTGAGGCAGCCCTCTGGGAACCAGTTGTTCCTGCCTTACTAACCTCTAATTGCTTTAGTACATTAGCTAAAGAGTGCTGGTGCTCTCATGTGAGCCATGCCAGCCACTGCTTCAGAGATGAAGCATTAATATCCTCTGTGGTGTCCCAAGTTAGACCTCAGTCTTTGATGACGAGCTGGGCTGTTGATGGTTCTCCCACATTAAGTGGGCTTCTTAGAAAGGACCATTAAACCCAAAGTCAGCTGTGAGATGAAGTGCTAATGTGACCGAGAAGCTTTCCTCTGCTCCCAGTTTCCATTCAAATGCTTGTTCATCCACCATGACCCCCAAGAATGAGTGTAGGAACATGTACTCACTGTCTTGTGACCAGATGTAGACATAACCGATCCAAGAACTGTGATACAGAAAGACAGCTACCAATGTATGGACTGTTCTTTGAAGCTGGGGGTGGGATATAAGCCTCTGAAGTCACTAAAGGACAGACATAAGGTCTTGGGAACCTTTAAAGAATTCAAAGGGAGTCAATGCAGGGCCAGTGGAGGTAGAATTCAGCTCTGCCAACAGCCTTGACAGACCATTGTGTGGGTGTATGGCAGGGGGCAACTTGTTTCAGAAGTCTGAAGTAGTGGCCTCTCTTCAGCCTGCACTGCCCATGAAACCAGAAAAATGGATGAGGGCTAGCAGAGCAGGGAATTCTGAAGTTGTCTTTGCCTGTGGGTCTATGAACCTATTCACAGCATCAGTGCCATCCCTTGAAGCACCAGAGGGTATACCCTGCTGGGCCAGGGCCACCTCATCTTAGGTCTCCACTGGCACCTGAATACTAGCTCTCATTGACAAGTCTTGGCAACCCAGTTTGGCATGTTTCCTTGTCCGGTCACATCCTACAAATGGCCTGCTAGGGTGGGGTAGAGCAACAACAGTGGAACTCTCATGGGACACTGAGAAACTTCCTGGCCCTCTGTAGCTGGTGGGAAATGCTGATACAGTTAGTTAGTTGGGGGAAGGACCTGGATTAGAGTGTAGTGTAGGGAGTGGCCCAGGCTTCCAGTGAAGAAGTGGGGCCTACAGGAGGGTAGGTTATCAGATAAGCTTCCAGAGACTGGGGTTAGTCAGGATTGGCCTCAACTCTTCTGCCTAGATTCTCCCTGGGGAGCTAGAAGTTTCTCAGATCATAAAGGTATACGTCAGCATGGAAACCAAGAGAGTTCATACAGATGCCAGGGGGTCTTGTATGGTGAGCAGAGGTCTGGTGTTGCTTTAACAGGTTGTACCTCAAGTATAAACACTGCCTCAGAATCTGGATTATGTAGTGGTATTGAGTTGCTGGGTTTCAGAAAAGGATAGCATGCTGGGCACTTGGCTGATGAGAGCCTTCGTGTCTTTCCTGATCTACAGAGGGAAGTCACAGGTTGCCCTGAAGATCATCCGTAATGTGGGCAAGTACCGGGAGGCTGCTCGTCTAGAAATTAATGTTCTCAAGAAAATCAAGGAGAAGGACAAAGAGAATAAGTTGTGAGTATCTACAAGGAGTGAGAGGGCATCACTCAGTGGGGTAGCATCCTCTAGTTCCAGCTGCCCGAACACCCAGGGATTTCTCAGAGTCTTACAGGAGCTCGGTACTGCTTTCTCAAAACACTCAGTAGGGGAGTGTGACAGGGTTCTTTCTGGAAAGAGCCCTTGGACTTCAGGCTCTATCTAATCTGGCTTTGTGTTCTGAAGTCGTCCTAGCCCTGCATTTATGAGTTAGGGACTTCACAGGTTTGTGACGCTTGTTTGGACACTTACAGAGCTTTTCTTTGGCAGATAGATACCAAGCACTTCACTGTGCTACACTCAGCAGAGGGGATGTACCTGCCCAGGCCCTCAAGAAGCTTAGTAGTACCCGGAGGCCTGTGTTGTACTGGTGTAATTCTATCTCCCCCTCGTAACTGGCAGGGCTGCTTACCATTCCAGCCACGGGTGAGCTAATCCCAAAGTTAAAGTCCCTCCACACAGTAGGGAGTTCATTTCTCACTCAGAGCCCATCTGTGTGATAGTAGATTGAGACACGTGCTCTGTTGCATCGTATCATGGTATGCAAAACAATGTTGAGTCAGGTGAGTCGGAGCTTGAACCCCACCTATCCTTTTTTCCTCTAGCCTGTGTGTCCTGATGTCTGACTGGTTCAACTTCCATGGTCATATGTGCATCGCCTTTGAGCTCCTGGGCAAGAACACCTTTGAGTTCCTGAAGGAGAACAACTTCCAGCCTTACCCCCTACCACATGTCCGGCACATGGCCTACCAGCTCTGCCATGCCCTTAGATGTAAGTGCCCATTGGTGGTTGGAGCATGGAGTACTTTGTTCTCAAAACAAAGTCGCCTAGTGGTCTTGCCACCCTCTTTCCTCTAGCACACTGTTGATGGTTCTGCAAGGTCTCTTAAGCCTAGGGCCCCTGGCTGAAAGGTTCTTCTATCTTCAGATAGGAATCTCAGTGTGAGGCTAGAGGGACCACATATGCCAGGCTCTTCCACAAGTGCTTAGGAAGAAAAGAGAAAGTGCTCTAGAAGTTGCCTAGCTACTGACCTTGCCTTCACCTTCATAGAAGAGGAAAAGGTAGAAAGTGGACTCGACAGGCTCCTGCTACTCAGAGACCTCTGTCACTCACCTGTCCACCAACCTTGAAGAGCAGCTTTGCTGGAACCCAGTGCTCAGTGCACTGTAGGACTTAGGTAGAAAGGCAGCTTGGAAAGTGACAAGGCCTAGAGCTAAGATACGCAGGCCTACCTACCTTACACAGGCCTAAGTACCTTAGGTGATGGGGAAAAGAACCAAGTAAGAGGCAAGGTTCTGCAAAGGTCTAGACTGCCTTGTGAGCATCTTATAGGCCAAATGGGAACATTGAGGTTGAAAAGTAGAAAGTGACAGTGATTGGATGCAGAAGACTTTCCTTCTCCGGGATGGCTTCATAGGCATGCTTTCCAACAGTCACACTTTGGTGCAGTGAGCCATTATATAGCTAGTACTGAGGAGAGGACTCACTAATGTGGCGTCAGTGAGATGGTAAGGCTCTGCCTCTCTAGAGCGTGGTGGAGGGGTTTTCTGATGGAAAGCATTCCTTCCTTCCCTGTCTTCTGGATTATGAAGAGGCCTTACAGAACTGGGCTAGGGTTGTAAGTGAGCAGCTCTGGCCACAAGCTGGTGGGCAAGCCTAGGGTCTCAATCTGTGCTTCTCTCTCCTCTAGTTCTACATGAGAACCAGCTGACCCACACAGACTTGAAGCCAGAGAACATCTTGTTTGTGAATTCTGAGTTTGAAACCCTCTACAATGAGCACAAGGTAGAGCACTGACTGGGTGGGCAAGAGTGTGGCCCTGCTCCAAGGTAGGTTACCTACCTGGGCAGACTGACCTAGCTGGCCTGCCTTGCATTCAGAGCTGCGAGGAGAAGTCAGTGAAGAACACCAGCATCCGAGTGGCAGACTTTGGCAGTGCCACATTTGACCACGAACATCACACCACCATTGTGGCTACCCGTCACTATCGCCCACCTGAGGTGATCCTTGGTGAGTGGTTTCATAGCCTCCAGTATTGTTTACACTGGGCAGTTGTCAGAATGAATGTCTGGATGTGGTGGCACACATCTGTAATCCAAGTTTTTAGAAGGCAGAAAAGATCAGTTTAAACCAGCGTTGGTTACACGAGACCCTGTCTCAAAGTGAGGCATGTGGTAAACAGTACCAATCAATCTGCTGCCCGGACTGGACAATATCCAAGACACCAAGGTAGACTTGGTGTTAGTCAGACACAGCCTTGTTAGTAGGGCTTGGGCAATAGCTATGCCAGCTAGAATGGCAGCTTCCTGGGAATGTAGGGTGTTGAGTCTCACATTTTGCCATCTTGGCTTACAGAGCTGGGCTGGGCACAGCCCTGTGATGTCTGGAGTATTGGCTGTATTCTTTTCGAGTACTACCGTGGCTTTACCCTCTTCCAGGTATAGTACTGGGTTGGTGGGCTGTAGGGCACATGGTCAAGAAGCTGTGTGGTTAAGGAATTGATACTTTCCATTCCATCCCTACCAGTTCATGTGAATCTAGACTCTTAGGGGTTATAGTTGCTCAGGGCAAGGAATCAGTTAAGAGTCTAAAGCAGGTAGGGAGGATTTCATCCAGGAAAAGACTGGGTACAAACAGATTCTGTCTGGGCAAGAACTTATCATAGCAATCCTGTGGCATGAAGAACCAACCTGGTGTGCAATCAGCCAGCCAGGTCCACCTATGGGACTGAAAAACATGAGTCCAGCCCTGGTTCTATCTAGGCCTGTGGGATGCCACCAGGTTGAGACAGTTTTCCTCTCCTGGAGTGGGGAGCTTTTGGCCTGTCTTTTCTCACCCTTTACTCTTCCAAAATGGGCAGAAGTTGGACTTAATTCTTACTTGTTCTATCCCTGATCTTCTGCAGACTCATGAAAACAGAGAACACTTGGTTATGATGGAGAAGATCCTAGGGCCCATCCCATCACACATGATCCACCGTACCAGGTAAGAAGTCTCCATGGCTCTGGGTCAGCTGGGTACCAGAGACACAGCCTTTGTCAAGTATTCCTGTGGTTCTCCCAGCTCCTCATAACCTTTACTGTATGTTCCTCAAACCTGTCTGGTAAAAGCTGTTGCCCCTACCAACCTTTGCAGGGTCAGGCTAACACCTATTTTCTGTCCCTGTTACTACCTGAAGACTGCCAGGAACCACTTTTTCCCCACCTCCCACCTAAGTCCAGACCTGAGGGCTTCTACTCCTTGATTCCTTTTTTTTCCCTTGTCTTTCTAGGAAGCAGAAATATTTCTACAAAGGGGGCCTGGTTTGGGATGAGAACAGCTCTGATGGGCGGTATGTGAAGGAGAACTGCAAACCTTTGAAGGTCAGTTTCTGGCTCCCCCAGCTCAGCTCACTCAAGGAGACCCCAGGTTTTGGGCAAACAAGCAGTAGAGACAGGATGGGCAGCCAACAGCTGCCTGATCATATCAGTTCTTTGTGAGGCAGCACCCAAGACTACTGGGTACTTGCAGTAAGGCTTTTTCTGCAAGCTGCCCGAGGCGCCCTTAGCCTTGCCCCTTTCCACAGGGGGCTGAGAATGTAATGGGGAACATACCAGAAGAGCCAGCTGTCAGACTGCTGCTTCCTGTCCCCTTCTCTTCTCTGAATTTTGGGAAGAACTAGGCAGGACTAAGGCAAGAGGGAGGGAAAACCTAGATGTGGCCAGGAGGACTGTCAACTGTTATTTGGTACCTGGCCAAGTGCATTTTCCAGAGGTGATTTCTACCCATCCATTAGAACTTTGCATGTGGGGTAGAAGCACCAACCCAGCAAGATCTCACCCGGTAGCCTAAGTTCTGAGCATGAAAGGAAAGTTGTTGTTCTGTCCTGGAGGGCAGAAGTAGTCCTCCAAGGAGGCATAGCTACCTCCTTGACCCATCCCAGCGAGGTATCCCAGAGGCAAGGGGACTGCGTGGCTTCCCACAACCCTGCTATCACACTGAGGCACCTTGTGTCCTTGAGCAGAGTTACATGCTCCAGGACTCCCTGGAGCATGTACAGCTGTTTGACCTGATGAGGAGGATGTTAGAATTCGACCCTGCTCAGCGCATCACACTGGCAGAAGCCTTGCTGCATCCCTTCTTTGCTGGCTTGACCCCCGAGGAGCGGTCCTTCCACAGCAGCCGTAACCCCAGCAGATGACAAGTGCAGGCCAGCATACGAAGAGTTGGAGAGCTGGACTGGGCTCCTGGCCCCTTTTCTCCAGCCTCTCCCACTGGCCTCGGAGCCAGGGCCACCGATGAACAGTGCAATGTGAAGGAAGGCAAGGAGCCTGCAAGGGACAGGGGGATGTGGTGCCCAGCTGCCAGAAAGCACAGATTGGACCCAAGCTATTTATATGTTGTAAAGTTATAATAAAGTGTTTCTTACTGTTTGTAACCCCCTGGTACCAGTGTGTCCATCTCCAGGCTCCTTGCCTTCTCCCTTCTCTGACTGACTTATTAATAAAGTCTTTCTTAGCAGCTCAGCTTGTGGAAAGCTAAGTGTGGGTTGGGCCAGACACAGAAAGGCAAGCCAATGAGTAAGCTGGAACATCTTCTAGGGCAGCAGTTCTCAACCTTGGGGCTCAACAACTCTTTCACACAAGTCACCTAAGGCCATCAGGAAACACAGATATTTCCATTATGATTCACCAATAGCAAACTTATGAAGTAGTAACTAAAATAATTTTATGGTTGGGGCTCATCGATATGAGGAACCCCATATTAAAGGGTTAACATTTGAAAGGTTGAGAGCCATTGCTCTAGAGTTTTAAGTAGAGCACTTTTGGCAGCAGGATGGCAATGAGGCGGCAGACTTGCCAGACCTAGAAGGCTCTTGCATCTTTCTGTCCCAAGGGTAGACATAGCACACTATAGCTAGCCTGTACATGCCCAGCAATCACGGTGATCAGGGTAGGCTCCTAAGAATTTGGGGAAGCAGCACTTCACACTCTACAAAGCAGTTGAGACAGCACAGAACTCACTTTATTGTAGTGCTGGCTTTGAGTTTCCCAAGAGCTGCATGAGTTACTGAAAGATATGACCACTTGTCTGAAACCAGCCATTGGGCAGGGACTTCCAAAAAGAGTTTCAGTAACTCAAGTGGGGGTTCAGGCCAAGGGCAGGGAAAAAGAGAGGCTTCTCAAAGTCTTACCACCTCCAGGGTCACCATAACTACCTGATGCTAGCCATCTTCACATACTTTGTATGTGTCTAGTAACCTGGAGTGGCTGCCTGCTGTCCCAACTGTAACCCTGCATTCAGAGAAGAGGCCTAGCTTGAAAGTTACAAAGTCTTTCTTGAAGTGTGCAGCTGAGGCTCCCAGTCCTTTCCTGCCACTGGAAATAACTTGAGAGAAAAGATGGAGGGAAAGGAAAGGCTATTCTCATCTGTTGGGGCCAAGTTCCTACAAAAAAAGAGATAGCCTGAAATCTACAATATCAGGGTAGTAAGCCCATCTGCATGTCTGCCTATGCCCACCAGTGATGGGCACAACAGAAAGAACCATGGAGGGGGAGAGCTTCAAAATACAAGTCCTTTGTAAAGGTCCCTGCTAAGGCTCCAGGAATGGTCCTATCCTACTAGCCTGTAGGGCCCAAATCCAGGAAGACCCCGAGGATAATGCCCTAGGATCTGAGCAATGTGATGTTCCCATGGCTAACCCCATCAGCAAGGTCATCCTGAACTGGGCTCCTGTTTGGCCATGTTTGAGAAAGACCTCTAGTCCCAAGTCTGCACATAGGGGAGGGCAACTATAAAGGATTAAAGCCCAGACATAAGAGTGAAGCCATGGCATGGGGGGGGGTGGCATTTCCAGAGGCAGGCAGAAGGGGAATCAAGAAATACTATTTATGGGTAAGGAGGAGGTAGGAAGTGATGACGGCCTAGAACTAAAGCACCAAGGAGCCTCCTCTGGCTCAGCACCAAACTCCCCAGGGTTTCCCCAGTACTGAAAAGCTGCATCCTGAACATCTGGCTCCCAACTAGGAGGTGTGGGCACTGTAGCCTGACATGCACAAACCCTCTGTTAAAGATGACAGCAAAGCAGCCAGCCTAGAATCTCATCAGTCATCGTCCCGATACACTCCCCAGGAAAAGTTCCAACATAAAACTGGAACATTCCAGGAGGGTCCAAAGCTTCTAAAAAAACTTGGGTGGCACTGGGGGAAGGCAGAGACAGCACTCTCAGGACCTAGGAGATCACAGGTCTGCCTTCTGGATAGCTGCCTGATAGCAGCCTAATCTACATGATTAGAGTAAGGGTGAGCTGGCTGGCTGCAGGGCCAGAGGACGCATGGAAAGGAGAAAGCCTTCTGAAATGAGGTGGGTGAGGCTCCAATAGGCCCTGGCCAACCCCACAAGGTGCCAGCCCATGCCCAGTGGCTGTAAACCTGAAACAGTCTTAGAGCTGCCTATGTCTGTAAACAAAGCCCCACTTGAATGGAGGCATGGTAGGATAGAAAAGATGCCTGGAGCCACTAGTCTGTCCCTGACATGCATGCCAGTGGGAAAGCCTTCCCTGATGAAGGGGAGGTGGCAGGCAAGTTTTAAGTATGTTTGTGTTCTTTCATATAAGAAACCCAAAAGAGAATCTATAAGGTCCACAAAGCTTCACATCCTTAAGGCCTCCTTTGTTGGGTTTGGCGGCAGAAGTGCAGGGGAATATAGGGTCCAGCTGCCAAGAGCCCTCTATGCAGAGTGCAGGGGAATGACAAATTTGCAGCCAAAGGGTGAATGGTAGTTGATGCCAACCTCCTGGAAGACCTGCTGGGGAATGCCAATGTCACACAAATAGACTCGGCCTGCGTGCTCCCCCAGTGGCAGAGGCAGGCCCAGTGCCAGGGACCATTTGGCATCGATGCCCTGTTCCACTTCATGCACCGGAGGGTCTATGCTGAGCACTGGTGCCCGGTTCTGGTTGGCCCAGGCCACAGCTGCCTTGTACCAGGGCTGATCCCGCAGGAAGGCGTTCTCGGGGCAATCCAGGCAGTTGATAACCAGGTCCACAGGGCTAGTAGGGAGATCTGTAGATGGAAAGAATGCAACTGAACATTCCTGGAGCAGACAGCAGGCTGGACCAGGGTTTATGGCTTCATGAGATTTGGTGTTTGAGGTGGCACCAACTCTAATATTAGCCTCTCCAAAGGCCAGCCTACTCAAGAGCATGAGGCCCTCACCACCTCTGCCTTGCAGATAGGGCTTTCTATCTGACTAACTCTGCAGACGCTACAAGTTCAGAGATGCTCTCTGGTCCATTGTCTGTCTAGTTGGCAGTAGGTGTTTATACGCAAAAGGCTGGTCTGTGCATCCCACTCCAGCCAGCCTGCCCTTCTCTGGGAATTCCTTATACAAAGGGATCCTCTACTCAGCCCTAACTTAGTAACAGGGAAAAATGATCTCTGTTCTCCCAGCACTTAAAAAAAAAATGGCTTCTCTGTCAGCCAGTGAGATGGCTCAGTGCTTGGTGAAAGCACTTGCAGTCAAGCCCCATGACCTGAGTTTGCCCCCACCTCAGGACCCACATGGTGGAAGAGAGAACCGACTCCTCTAAGTTTTCCTCTAGACCACACACATGCCACAGCATGTGCACACATACACACAAACTTTAGTAAAATGTAATAGCAATGTTAAAAAAATGCCTCTGCTCTTGATTAGGCTGTAGACCTCTGTAACAGTGTAAGAACAGGAAGTCTCAACATGTATGCAAATCGTGGATTACCTAAGAAATCAACCTGACAGCCTCCTGAAGCATCTGCCGTAGGAAGCTTTTTAGACAGCTAGAAGGAAGACTGGCTGGAACCTGGCACTGCATCAGGAATTGTAATTCATCCTCATACTCAGCCTATAGTTAATAGCATTGCTCAATTAGAGATTCACAGCTTCCCTCCTTAAAACGCACCACTATAAAGTTCCTGTGGGCCATGAATGGCTCGAAAGATTAAGAATGGAACCCTTTGTGTGTACACAGAAGCCTGCGGTTCTGGTCTAGGCTCCTCCTGACTTGCCATGTGGCCTCTAGCAAGGTCATTCCCTCTTGTACCATCTTTCCTCCAGCTCTTACCCTGTTATCTCTTAAGTCTGAGACACTGTTCCTACACCAAAACTGCGCTTTCTAAATATCCCTGGCCTCCACACTGCCAAATCTAATTCTCAGTCTTCCCATGAATTAATTTAGAATTCCTTCCTCCACCTGGCTGTCAGCTACACAGACCACTGCACCTCCCTTTCCCTCCCTGACCGCTCCTGCCCATCTCCGTAACTTCAGAAACAAAGAACTCAGTCCTCTGTCCTTCTTCCCTTTTCCTGGCTATTTTCAGCTTCCATATCCTTCAATACCTGAAACTCCAGGCTGGACCCTTCCTTTTACTACAGAGTCACAAAATTTCCTGCTTGGCAGCATCAGTCCCAACCCCTGAACACTTTACTAACGTCTAACCTGAGGTGTTCTTTCTCTGTCAAGTTCCACTTCTGAGGCAGGGACTCAGGCCAAAACATTTAGAGTATATTCTCATTCTCTCTCTCTCTCTCTCTCTCTGATCTATTATTTTAGTATGAATATGAACCACTTGTGTGGAGGCCAGGAGAAGACTGTTAGATACCCTAGAACTGGAGCTACATAGGGTTTTGGGCTGCCATGTGGACTGAATCTAGGACTAAAGCTGCATCCAGCTCGGTAAATGGATTTAAAAATCATTGCCATGTTTATTCCCGTAACTGGGAAAAGTACTTGTCCCATATATATTTATGTAATGAGTCAGTGGGTATCGGTAGGAAAAGGGTAGGGCCGAGGCTGTTTCCTTTAGGTGAGTTAAAGAGCGAGCCCTTAGAAGCAGAGCACTGCGTGTGCATATGTGCATGCACACACACATGTATTTCCCCCAGATGGAGTCTCACTATGTAGTCCTGGCTGGCCTCAAACTCAAGAACCTCCTGTCCCCATGCCCTGAGTGCTGAGATTTTACGTGTGGGCCACCACCATACTGAACTAAAGCAGAAAATTCCACCCATGTCATGCTTTTCTACTTAGCACCACCAGATGGCACCACCAGACTGTCATGCTACCAAGGAAGCAGAAAACCTTGCCCAATTTTTGGGCACTTTTTTTTTTTTGGTGAACCTAGGTCTTGACACAGAAAGAGCTACCCTCCAATACTAATGCTCACCTCTTAGGCTAGACACTTGTTGACCTTGGGTCTTGCTGAAGAGAGACAGTTCGTTGGTGATAGACTCCAGCATCTTGACAAAGTTGGGCAGGAAGAGGATGACTTGCACATCATGGTTGGCTAGGTGCCTCCCACAACTGATACCCTGAGCCCCCTTCACATGGGGCCCACACAGCAAGGCAACTGTAGGCCTCTGGTGGACATTCTTAGGATTCAACCTAGAACACAAAGTGAAGAAACAGTTTCTGGACACAGACTGGCCCAATCCCTTAAGTCCCCAACACAGAAACAGGTAACTGTTGCTCTCAGGGGCACCCCACTCC